CCCTCTGCCACCGCCGGGGGTGCCCAGGGACGCGACCTGGTTTCAGTCTTGCACCAAGTCCATCCCCACCATCAGGGGCCCTGGTGAAAAGGCAGACTGGGACTTAGACTCCGCGTCCTGGGAGACCCCGTGCCGTGGACCACTAGAGATCCCGTTGGGCGGAGCCTGACACTATGCTTAGACATCATTACCTCTCCAATTTTTTCCAGTCATTCTCGGCATGCCCTGACTAAAAGCCCACAAACCCAACCATTAATTGGTTGTCCGGAGAGATCTCTTTCACCTCAGAATATTGTTTGAATCACTGTACTCCCAAAGCGACTACTGAGGCAACTCCTCTTTTCGGCATTCACTCTGACCCTGAGACCATGAAACTTGTTCCTGCATGCATACCATGAATATCTGGGACTTCTTCAATAAGAAAAGTTCCAACTGCCTTCCTCCCCATCGCTCATATGATTGTCCTATTGAACTCCTGCCCGGTGCCGAAATTCCTTTCGACAGAATCTATCCCCCTATCCGAGGCTGAATTAGAGGTTCTCTGGGAATATATCAATTGAGAGCTTGGAAAAAAGGCTTTATTCGGCCTTCTACATCACCAGCAGGAGCCGGTATCTTTTTCGTGGAGAAGAAAGATCATACTCTCAGACCCTGTATCGATTACCGAGACTTGTCCCCCTGGTTCCTAGACTCCCTCTGTTCCAACCTCAGCGGGGTCAGGGCTAGTGACACAAGTGAGGCCGACCTCGTCAATTCAGTCTCCTATCAGGTGCGTGACAGATGCTCCGCTGGACCTGATAATCTCAAACCATGCAGAGCATATTACCAATGTCCATATAAAGAACATCTGGGTAGCAGTGACCATAACATGATTTAATTTATTGTTAGCTGTAAACAGCAAGCATATACAGGAAAATTTTAAGAGAGCTAATTTTCCAAGGCTGAGAGCTGCTGCTCTCCAAGACTTAGACTGAGAGGGAATATTGGCATTGATGAACACCACACAGAAATGGGAGTTCTTCAAAAAAAAAGACTGTATGTGAACATACTGCAAAATAAATTCTCATTGGCAACAAGTTTAAAAGGCTAAAAATCAAACCTATGTGGCTTACAGTCAAAGTTAAAAAAGCTATAGATAATAAGAAAAGAGTTTTTATTAAATATAAAAATGAAAGAACGCTATCATTGTTTGAACATTATAAAGAATATAACAGAATATGCAAAAAGGAAATAAAGGCAGCAAAAATTGAAAACAGATTGCAAAAGATCGCAGGACCAACCCCCGAAAATTCTTTAAATATATTAATAGTAAAAAGGTCCGAGCATGTAGGCCCTTTACAAAATAATCTAGAGTGGGTGACTGGGGACAAAGAGAGGGCAACTTTATGAAATACCTTCTTCAGATCTGTGTATACAAAGGAGCATGGGGGATCTCTTGTCCATAATGGGCATGGTATTGACACTCCAGATGATCCACATTGGCTCACAATTGATATGATCAGGAAATATTTAGACAGAATAAAGCACCTGGACCGGATGGCATACACCCACAGGTCCTGAAAGAATTGAGCTCTGTCATTTCAAAGCCATTGTTTCTAATTTTTAGGGACAATTTAATGACTAGCATAGTACCACTGGATTGACATAAGGCCAATGTGGTGCCTATATTTAAAAAGATCAAAATTTTTACCAAGTAATTATAGACCTGTTAGTTTAACTTCTATGGTTGGGAAGATACTGGAGAGTTTAATAAAAGACCACATAGATGAGTTCTTGCTGAAATAAAAATATTTTAAGCAACAGACAGCATGGATTCATGAAAGACAGAAGTTGTCAAACAAATTTCTTTTTATGCGGAGGTGAGCAAAACCTTGGACAGAGGGGGTGGCAGCAGATGTGGTATACCTGAATTTTGCAAAAGAGTTTGACACAGTTCCCCACACACGGCTAATGTGTAAGGTAAAGTCTATAGGCTTGGAAAAATCCGTAAGTAAATGTATAGAAGACTGGCTAAAAGATTTTATGCAAAGAGTAGTGGTTAATGATTCATACTCTGAATGGTCTATGGTTGTCAGTGGTGTACCCCAAGGTTCAGTGTTGGGACCCTTACTTTTTAATATATTTATAAATGATATAGGGTCTGGGATTAAAAATACCTTTTCAGTCTTTGCAGATGACACCAACCTGTGCAGTGGAATAACGTCCTTACAGGATGTCTCCAACTTACAAACCAACCTCAATGCACTGTTTATTTCGGCGACTATGGGGAAATAGAGGTTTAATGTTGATAAATATAAGGTTATGCACTTGGGGGCTAAGAATATGCATGCTTCATACATACTAGGGGAAGTACAACTGGAGGAATCAATGGTTGAGAAGGATCTCAGAGTTCTGGTAGATCACAAGCTTAATAATGGCATGCAATGCCAAACTGCAGTTTCTAAAGCGAGCAAAATCCTCTCTTGTATTAAAAGAGGTATAGACTCCAGAGAGAGAGATATCATATTACCCCTGTACAAATCATTAGTAAGACCTCATCTGGAATATGCATCTCAATTTTGGGCACCAATTTACAAAAAGGAACTGGAGAAAGTACAGAGAAGGGCAACCAAACTGATAAGAGGCATGGAGGAGCTCAGCTAGAGGAAAGATTAGAGGAACTGAATTTATTCTCTCTTGAGAAGAGGAGATTAAGGGGGGAGATGATCAACATGTATAAATACATCAGTGGTTTACACAGTGAACCCAGTGTAGAGTTATTCATCCTGAGGTCATCACAGAGGACAAGGGGGACACTCTTTACATCTGGAGAAAAAGAAATTTAATCTCCAAACACGGAATGGTTTCTTCACAGCAAGAGCTGTGAAAATGTGGAATAGACTCCCTCAAGAGATTTGATTCTGGCCAGCTCAGTGGATTGCTTTAACCACTTGCCTACCGGGCACTTATACCCCGGCCATTTTTTAAGCTTTCAGCGCTGTTGCACTTTGAATAACAATTGCGCGGTCATGCAACATTGTACCCATATGAAAATGTTATAATTTTTTTTCACACAAATAGAGCTTTGTTTTAGTGGTATTTAATCACCGCTGGGTGTTTTATTTTTTTGCGCTATAAAAACAAAAAAAAGAGCAAAACTTTTGAATTAACGGGTGGCACTGCTGGGCAGCACTGATGGGAGGCACTGCTGGGCACTGGTGGGTTGCACTTCTGGGCACAGGTGGGTGGCACTATTAGGCACTGATGGGCACAGGTGGGTGGCACTGATGGGCACAGGTGAATGGCACTGCTGGGCACAGGTGAGTGGCACTGCTGGGCACAGGTGGGTGGCACTGCTGGGCATTGATCATCAGGGAACTGATCATCATTGCCCTGATGATCAGTGCCGATCCATCCTCTGACAATTGCCGGCTATTGGCAGTACTTTCCTCAAGCTGTGAAAGCGTGAGCAAAGTGCAGCCGATAACTGGCAACTGCATTTAATGGTGATCTGCTGTGTTATTGGACACAGCTGATCACATGGTAAAAGGCCGCTGTGATTGGCCATGTACCACATCATTTGATCAGCTGTGTCTGTAGGATCATGGAGATCCCGGGGGGGGCGCACAGAAGGGCGTGTTCTGGATTCTGGATTCCCTCCTCTCCTCTCCCTCCTGCTGCTGAGGGGGAACTTTCAGGATAGAGAGCAGAGGAAGGGGCAGGTAAACATGTCTTCTATTAATTCATCTTCAGTGCAGCTAATCTTGCAGAGAAAGGTACTGGGGAATATCAGTCCTCAGTCCCTTTCTCTGTCTCAAAGGGGAGATGTCAAGCCTGATATCTCACCAAAGCCCCCCAACAGAGCTGATAGCAAAGAAATGTAATACATATGAAAAAATTAAATTGTAAAAAATGATAAAAACCTAAGTAAAAAAATGACTGCCCCCCCCCCCCCCCCCCCCAAAAAAAAAGAATGATGAAAAAAAAAATAATAACAAATTAAATTGTAAAAAATATAAAATAAAAAATAAAAGCAAAAAAAGCACTGACGCGGTCCACTGCCCTACTGACACCATTCACTGACCCTCTTCCCCAAAGCATTATGAAAAAAATAATAAAACAATAAATTGTCAAAAATAATAAAAAAACATTAAAAAAATAATAAAAAATAAATTAATAAAAATAAAAAACTACTGACACCATCCACTGCTCTAATAACATTGTCCACTGCTATACTGACAATATAATGAAAAAAAATGCTGTCTATTGCTGTACTGATACCATCCACTGAACTATTGACACCAGCCACTTACCCCCCAAAAAAAAACATTTTAAAAAATAAAAAAATAATAAAAATGAAATGTAATAAAACAAATGGAAAAAAATAAAAATAAAAATAAAAAAAGAAATAAAAAAAAGAACTACTGACACCGTCCACTGCCCTACTGACACCATCCTGCACATACACTCCACACTCCTCTCCTGCACATGCTACCCAGCGCCATACACTCTACACTCCTCTCCTGCACATGCTTCCCAGCGCCATACACTCCACACTCCTCTCCTGTACATACTACCCACCACCATACACTCCACACTCCTCTCCTGCACATGCTACCCACCACCATACACTCCACACTCCTCTCCTGTACATACTACCCACCACCATACACTCCACACTCCTCTCCTGCACATGCTACCCAGCGCCATACACTCTACACTCCTCTCCTGCACATGCTTCCCAGCGCCATACACTCCACACTCCTCTCCTGTACATACTACCCACCACCATACACTCCACACTCCTCTCCTGTACATGCTACCCAGCGCCATACACTCCACAACCCTCTCCTGCACATACTACCCACTGCCATACACCACACACTGTTCATTCCCAATTTAACATGACCACATTCTGCACTATGTAAGTCATCTCAGTCTTTATTTAACCACACCCCTTGAAGCCACATCCTATATTTAGCGCACTTTAAACAACGCCCACTTTGCCAAAACGTGCTTTGAGTTGCATTTTTATTTTTACCAATGCCTAGGGCCCACTTTTGATCTTGCACATGGGCACACTGATTTAATGATATTCCCCCTGCACATCTCCAGTGCCTTCCAGGGAGATCTTGTATCTTGTATACAAGCTGTGGAACTTACAGTAGAGTATTGTTTTTAATAATAATAAACTGCCTCAGCCCATACAACAGAGGTGTGCCTTGACTGGGGCATGTGCAATATGAGCTGTGGAATGATTTATTAACCACTTGCCTACCGGGCACTTTTACCCCCTTCGTGCCCAGGCCAATTTTCAGATTTCAGCGCTCTCACACTTTGAATGAAAATTGAAGTCATGCAACATTGTACCCAAATGAAATTTTTATATTTTTTTTACACAAATAGAGATTTCTTTTGGTGGTATTTAATCAGCACTGGGTGTTTTATTTTTTGCACTATAAACAAAAAAGAACAGAAAATGTGAAAAAAAAGTTTTTCTTTGTTTCTATTATAAATTTAGCAAACAGGTAATTTTTCTCCTTCACTGATGTGCAGTGATGAGGCCACACTGATATGCAGCACTGATAGGCAGCACTGATGGGCACTGATATGGTGGCGCAGATAGGCAGCACTGATGGGCACTGATAGGCTGAAATGATGAGGTGGCACTGATGAGGCGGCATTGGTGGGCATTGATGATGCTGCACTGATATGCAGCAATGATGGGCACTGATAGGCACCACTGATGTGTGCTGATAGGTGGCACTGATGGGCACTTATGGGCAGCGCTGACTGGCGGCACTGACTGATGGCACCGACTGGTAGCACTGCTGGGCACTGATGGGTGGCACTGCTGGCCACTGATGGGTGCAACTGCTGGGCAGCACAGATTAGTGGATCTACTGGGCACTGATGGGTGGCACTGCTGGGCACTGGTGGGAGGCACTGCTGGGCACTGGTGGATGGCACTGCAGGGCATTGGTGGGAAGTACTGCTGGGCACTGGTGGTTGGCACTGATCTTTAGGGCAATGATCATAAGTGCCCTGATGATCAGTGGCAATCTGCTCTGTGACAATTGCTGGTTATTGGCAGTACTTTCCTGTGACAACATGAGGAAAGTGCAGTCGATAACCGGCAACTGTATTTACTTGGTGATCTGCTGTGTCATTGGACACAGCTGATCACACGGTAAAAGGATGCTGTGATTGGCCTTTTACCTCATCGCATGATCAGCTATGTCAGTAGGACACAACAATCACAGAGATTGCCAGGTGTGCGCCAATGGGGGTGTGCAGGAGGGCGCATTCTGGGAGGACGTCATATGATGCCTGCCCAGAACTGGATATCCACACTGTAGCCGTCATTCAGCTATAGCGCATTTGGCAAGTGGTTAATATAAGTTAAAAGTCGTCATTGTACAAATGCTACCTTAGAACTATTTTTTACACATCTGAAGTTATCTGTGATGAACACCATTTACTGTAGCTAACTAAAAAAATCTCTCCATCATTTTTTATTCTTTCATATACTTGGTTGACATCTAACTGAGATATGTACAGTTCCTTGCATTCCTAGGGAGAGGAGGGAAAATGTTTATCAGAGACATTTTCCATGTAGTTGTTATCTCTATACTACCCAGTACCCAATTACAATAATAAATGCTGAAATTTGTCATGTTTTTTGCTAAATGTGGCATCCCTTGGAATCTGATCTTCAGTTTCACAACTAGCCCAGGCATATTTTTGTTTACTGTTGCAAAAAAATAATAACTATGTTCCTAAAAGAAAAAACAGAAAAAAAATAGAGTCACACAATAAAACCAGATGCAGGGACTAATATTGAATTTAAAGCTTGATTTCATTTTCAGTGTATTTGAAAGACTATGTGGGGGTTTTTTTACTAAAACTGCACGGTGCAAAATTTGTAACAGCTCTGCATAGAAACCAATCAGCATCCAGGTTTTATTGCCAAAGCTTAATTGAACAAGCTGGATTTAGAAGCTGATTGGCTACCATGCACAGCTGCACCAGATTATAAGTGTTAGAGTTTTAGTATATCCCCTCCTGTATTTCTATAATTGCAATAAAGGCAGTCACCAGAGAAAAAAAGGAATTTATTTTTTGTAATCAAGAAACTATTTTTTAAACACATTCCTTAATACATTTTTCCAGTCAGTTACTTTGGGTACTGACATTCCTTTATCAGAAAAAAATACAATGATACAGACAGAACTTCAGTGGGCACTGCAAGAATGGAAATGATCATTATCCAAATAAATGTAATAAAGACATTTAAAGAGAAGAACAAACTGCAAATTACAGTTTAAAGTTGTGGTCTGGTACATCAGAAGCTACTTGGATCCTGATAAAAATATTTTGATGTACTGTATCGGGATTACTATGTTTAGTTATGCTGAATAAAAACTATGTCTTTATCATCCAATAACAAAATCTAGAGACATTTCCTGAAATGCACCCACTGATTTTCTGTGTTTTTATCAAACACTCTTAATTTAATGTATTCTGTTAGTATAGAAGAACCTCTACAAATGAACCTGAACCTTGCTGTGATCAGGATTGTACTGACAGCCTTACACATACTGTAACATATTAGAGACATAAGTGCATTATTTCCTTCCTGTCGATTAATGTTATTTGATAGTGAGCATTTTGCAAAGCATCAACAAAAAGAAATTGTTCTTAAAAATTAAAAATGCAACCATGACTTGAAACTTTCACTGTCTACTGGGAACATACTCAATATGTTCCCCTATTGTCTCTTGAATGTGTTCTCCACCTTATTCTTATCGTCACATACCTGAAGAAGGAGTCCTGTGAGACTCCGAAATGTTGCCTTGCTGTAACTATGTGATCGTTCATTAAAACTTTTGGACCCATATTGGTGATCCTCGGTGTACTGGTGACATTCTCACTTGCTGATTCTGTTCGGTTCCAGCCAACGGTCTGCAGCACCCACTTATACACACAGCCATTTTTAACACAGGAACGTGTGCGTTTGGATTGTACACTTGCTCCACCTTATCCTTACACTTTTCAAATTTAAACGATAAAATATATATTTTTTTTTAATAAATGTCATGTTTGGTTGGCCATTGACTAGTTCTTACAGAAGAAGAAAACATGCAAGCACAATTGGTTTGAAAAAAAAAAAAGCATAATCCCTCACATATGTTGTCTTTGTTTGTCTTAGGGGTTATATTCATGAAGGATTCACTGGGAAATTTGCATAATTGACAGTCCCCCCAAGTGAGATTCGGCAGCATTCACCTGGCATGCCACATATATATTAACCCAATTTACAATAGAATGAATGTGCAACTGTCAAATGCAGCAACTAGTAAACAGCTTTTGAATCGTACTTGCACAGTAGAACATATCACTTTACAGGGGAATCTGCCAGCAGTAGCTCTCCATGGTGCTGCAACTGTGTTTCAGCACCATGAGAGCAAAATGTACTTTGTACTTTTTCAACATTATTTTTTTATTGTCAGCTTAATTCAGGCATACATCTTTGTCAATATTATTCACATTAGAAAATAAAAGTAGAGAATGAAAGAGAAAGGCCAATTAAATCTTTTATGCATGTTACAAAGTTGTTACATGTAGCGAATAACCCAAACAATATGTTTTTGATTTTTATTTTTACATTTTAGTATAGAGATAGACCATGGCAATACTCAAAGATTTTTTTTTGTTTAACAGTGTTTGAAAATACTGCCCTTTTTTACTATAGTAGTGAGACATCTTTAGTAGAGATGAGCGAATTATTCAAAAATTTGATTCGGCTGATTCGCCGAATTTGAGGAAGAAATT